AAAGAAAATATTCGCAATGTCCTTGATATTTTGGAATATTATGAGATAAATCATCAAAAAGAATTCGCTATTAGCAATAGATGCCGAAAAAGCTTTTGACAATCTGAATTGGGATTTTTTCAAGATATTAATACAAGAATTGGATATGGGAGAAAAATTTAACAATGCAATTAACGCTATTTATAATTATCAAAAAGCCAAAGTGAAAATAAATGGACAATTGACACAAGAATTAGAAATTGTGAAGGGCACTAGACAAGGATGCCCATTATCCCCATTGATTTTTATAATGGCTATGGAGATCCTAATGAAGAAAATCAGAGAAGATGAAAATATAAAAGGAGCGAAAATCGGCAAATTCGAATATAAAATACGGGCGTTTGCAGATGATTTGTTAGGAACAATTGAAGACCCGGACAAAAATTTACAACATTGGATAACGAAAATAGAGCAATTTGGAAAAGTGGCTGGATTCAAAATGAATATGAAGAAGACAAAACTGTTATTTAAAAATGTGAAAAAGGAGAGACAAATAAAGATTCAACAACAACTGGGGATAGAGAGTGTAAAGAAAATTAAATATTTAGGAGTCTGGATTACCGCGAGAAACTGCCAACTCTTGAAGAATAACTATGAAATAGTTTGGAATAAAATTCAAAAGGATTTACAAAAATGGAATTACTTAAATCTATCACTCCTGGGTAGAATATCATTAATAAAGATGAACGTTCTTCCAAGACTTATGTTCCTATTCCAAAATATACCGGTAATAAGAAATCAAACTTTGTTTAAAAAATGGAAGAAAGATTTACTTAAATTTATTTGGAAAGGGAAAAGGCCAAGGATTAATTATATAAACTTAATTGATAGAAAAACGAGAGGAGGTCTGGGATTTCCAGACTTGAAAACTTATCATGAGGCTTGTGCTCTATCATGGATAAGAGATTGGATGAATCTGAATAAAGAAAAGTGCTTAAATCTAGAGGGCCACGATTTGAGGGTAGGCTGGCACGCTTATGTGTGGTATAATAGAGAATCCAAGGAAAAAAACTTTGGAAATCATTTCGTGCGAGCCTCCCTATTGAGGACATGGTTAAGATACAAAGCCCTCTTTTATACAGTTACACCTCTTTGGGTCTCGGCGATGGAGGCCCATCAAAGAAGACTCCTTGGATGGAGGATTTGGCCAAGATACAAGGATATTCTGTTGAAAGGGGAAATGAAGATTAAATCGTTTGAACAACTCAAGAATATGTTTGGAAATATAACCTGGTTACACTATCTTCAAATTAAAGAGCATTTTAAACAAGATCAAAAAATTGGATTTGACTGGGAAGAAAACACATGGGACAAAATTTTAAAAACTGAGAAGAAGGTAGTCACAATTCTCTACAATAAATTGATCCAATGGCAAACGGAAAAAGAACAGGTTAAAAATTGTATGATTAAATGGGTCGAAAATCTAAGACGGCCCATTCAATTTAGAGAATGGGAACAAATGTGGAATAAAAAGCTGAAATATACCTATGCCATGGATTTGAAAGAAAATTGGTATAAAATGTTTTATAGATGGTATCTGACTCCGAATAAATTAAGCCAGATGTACCCAAATGTCTCAGATAAGTGTTGGAAATGTGGAGAACAAACAGGCACTTTTTTCCACACATGGTGGACATGCAAAGAAACAACCAAGTTTTGGGCATCTATACATGAGGAAATACAAAAGATATTGAAGAGAAGGTTTAGAAAGAAACCTGAATATTATCTATTAGGATTTACGGACTCTGACTTTAAAGTAGAGGAAAATGAAGATAAATTATTCACGTATTTTACTACTGCGGCAAGAA